AAGACATTTTTTTCTCTCTTTTAAGGCAAACCGATAACATCCCATACAAACCTTTATAAATATAAAACGTTGCGCAACACGTTAAGAGTCACGTCCGCTTTTCTGTTAGTGAGCTTGGGCTGCCTGTGGCCGAAACGGTCAAATCGTCACGCAACTTTAGAAAGATGTTAGCAGCACTAAGCAAGTCCATTCACCATCAAACTTTGCACAGTAATTATAATATCACTGCACAATAAAAGCATATAAAAAGTTTCTTGTAATTCTCCTTGGTATGGGTTTTATCGCCGTTTTATAAAGGTGTATTTTGCACGTCTTTTTGGGAGACAAAATGAAGGCTAACTATTACCGATTTAAACGACACGTGGTACCTAAAAATTTCGACATTAAAACCATATCAGACGAGAGCTCATTTATCCAACTATCGACCTGGAAAGTTTGGCCGTTGGAAATTAAGTCTCGTCTCGGTAGTTGAATAAAACGTGATGCTACCCAAGCGCCATTTAAGCGTGCAGAATCGATATTCATTTCAAGCTAATTATATAGTCAGTTTGTCGAAAGTACACAGAAAAAATTAAAAGACCTTTAAACGGCGTCAGCATCGTTATGTTTCTTCTGTGAAGCTGTGAATTTAAAGCAAAGTAGTTTTTAATCTTTTAATCTTTCTTAATCACGTTTCTCTGAACACATGTTAACACGGCTGACGGGATTTACAAACTTCAGAACATTTCGAGAACAGTCAGTGTTGGCTAAAACGCCGCTACTTTACACTTAAATTAATAATGTGTTGAGTTGCTTCTTATCAAATATACACAAAAATTTTCGTGCTTAAATGAAGAAAAAGAAAGCTATTTGGATCATTCACAGCATTCATGGAAAAGGCAACGAATGCAATTTATCAAGTTTATTGAGTTGTAAGTGACCTAAGCCGTCACGCTTAACATGTTCAGGTCAACAAAGAATCGCCTCAAACTCTTTTATTTCTGCTTTAAAAATATTGGACGAAAGAACAATATAAAAATCCGTCGAGGAAAGTTCACATTTTTTAAAGAACTTTCCGAGAATCATTTGTGTGAGAACCAATTTGAGATGGGCCGCAAGTGATCAAATCTATTACTGATCGTCAACACACATTTTTGAACGAGCATTAATTTGATCATAATGGACGACGTCTAATTGAAAACTGTAGTCATCCTTTAGCGAATGCTTGTCAGAGCGAGTCAATAAGTAATGTTGTAAGATAGAATCATGTACAGTACCTGTTCTTTTCCATCGCCGGTGGATTACAGTACGCCCCGCAGAAGATGCAGTGACTACCCAAGTTACGTCAACTGAGTGATCACAAATCCAGTTGATCAAATTACAGCTTGTCAAAATAAAAATAAATTGTCGATGTCGTGGTTCAATTCCTTGTCTGTATGTAAAACTGTAAAATGGCATTGTGTACCTGTTCTTTCTCATCGCTGGTGGATCAGTGTTCAACATGCGGAACAAGCAGTCATTATCCAACTCACGTTGAGGTCGTCACACTCAGGGATTGCTTAAGGGATGTTTTGGGGCATTTAGAATCATACGGAATCAGTGGTGATGAAGCCATCCACAGTGAACTTAAGCTGTTGCTAGCTCGAGCAGGTATCCTTTTTACTTTTTCCATTGTTTTGCGCTGCAGTATTAAACGGACTTAGTTTGTGGTCCACAAGCATTAAACTACAAATACTCTTTGCCTTTAAGGCCCAGTTCAGACGTCGTGCTTCTGCCGTGCCGAACTAAATTGCAATTTAGTGCAGAGTTAGGGGTAAGAGACGTTAATTTCCCACGCACGAGAATACTGTGTGATGGATGCCCTCCCCTGGGGTGGGATGAGTGGGTTGTTGTCTTGCGTTTCATACATGAGCCTCTGGCTCGGGCAATATGGGTAACCATGCCCCACGTTAAGACATTAAACTTTGATTACTATTGATTACTATTACTTACCCAAAATTCCCGGCATGGGTCTGGCTTCAGTGATTTCACTTGGCGGACTTTCTCCCTGATCGTTTCTTGCGATGATTCTAAACTGGTACAAGGCAGACTCCAGACCACCAATCTCCAGATCAAATTCATCATTCAAGTAGTTGACCCACGATGAGTTAACAAACTCTTCATTTTCCACTAACAACCACAACAACAACATGAAGAAGTTAGTTTATTAGTCATGTAAAATGGAAGTACCTTTCTATGCGTTGCGATGGTAGAGGTGTAAAAAGACTATTTAGTTCATAATGTAAATTGGCCACCGTGTATAGTCTTTGAAGCTGACGTTTCGAGCGTTGGCCCCTCGATAGTTAAGCAAATTCCCCCAGTCAGAATCCAAAAAAATGTATAAGGTAAACTGTGAAGAAGATACATACTAATGCAAGGGTGCAACTTACATTTCAGTCGGTACTGAACAAGGAATTCATGAGTGTATCCTCCACCAATACCAAAGATGTAAGTAATCCTGACTTTGTCAATTGCTGTTGGTTCAACTGTTGGAGTTTTGGGCTTGGCAGGTGCTGTAGATGAAAAATATAAATAAGATTAGTGTGTTCATCTTCGTGCAAGTGCAGTCATTACTCCGCTCATGGACGCGTAAGCGGACAGTTTTACTTACGGACAATTTAAATGCCTCTCAATCAAATTCTGTATTTACACAGGCGTACACTCTCTTGTGAACGGACGTAGACATCTGTGAAATTTAAAATTGGATTTTTCGTTTATTTAAGCTCTCTTCTCGTGAGCGTACACCCCGTAGATAATAATGAAAACTAGGCAATAAAATTTGTCTTGAATTTTCAAATCAACCTTATGACAGAGCAACACAACAGAGAGGATCGGTTTTGTCAAACCTCCATTTGTCCGCGAGAAAGCAAGCTCTCCGTTCCTTTGACATTAAAAAGAGTCAGACATAATACTCTTCCGTAAGCGGACATCCACCTCTTTTTCTCTGGTGTCCCCTTATGGAAATAATTCTTGTAGACGGTCAGTTCTAGTAACGGACACTTTTTCCAATTCCCGAGGGTGTCCGCTTACGAGAGTGTTGACTGTAATCGAAATAATTTTCCAAATTTGTCGTGACTTACCAGAAACTTTGACTGTTTTAGTGGGTATTCTCACACTTGCACCGTAACCCGGTTCGGTCTTGGCTTGTATTTCTACAACATAGTTTGTCAGCTCTTCTTGCTTTACTTCCTTGCCAATAAGGTACCTCCTCTTCGACGTTTCTAGCTCGGTCATCTCTACTGGAGTGTCTTTAGGCTCTGAACCCTTGAATTTAGCAGATCCCGCTTGGTAATTTTTAATGATTCCATTGGGTTCTACAGGCGGTTTCCACGTGACCAGGATGTACAACGCAAATGGGTACACTTTCACATCTGACGGAGGTCCAGGAACTAAAAATTAAACACACGCCAAGTTGCAACATAAGTAAAAGAAATAGTGAGTTTTTAGTATTAGAAGTGGGTGCAGTAAAAACAAAGCAAAAGGGGTGCACCTATCCCGCGAGCAGGCCCACATTCTAACGCTTATAATGAAGGCCTGGATTGAATACCTTCTCAAATGCGATTGGAAGCGGGGAACAAAGGCAGCAATTTCAATGCCTCTCTAGGCCTTCCAAGAACCCCCATTTCTAAAACCGCTGCATTGCATTTGCCTTAGTTGACTTCAGTCTAATTTGACTTCACCTTTTCATTCGATGATTTTACGGTAGCTAAAATTAAATAAATTCCCTTGTTCTGTTTCCTCATTCCAAATTCCAACAGTACCACTCAGATATATGTTAATTGCGCAGGCGCGCATATGCAGTGTAAACAAATTAAGCTACTGCAAGATTGTTTATACATACCATCATGCAGTGTGTCAAACTATGTTTCATAACTTGCTGGGCCTTTCCCTCCGCTGTTGAAAGCCTTTATTGCTACTGTGTAAGAGCTGTAAGGTTTCAGGTCAGAAACTGCCGTTGAAGAGGTAGTTCGCCCCTTTACATCGGTAGAGTTTGCATAGCTTGGAATGGCTCGTCTTCTTCTCCTTGTTTTCGCCGAAAGGATTGCGCCCCAGTAAAAAATCTACAATTGTTGCACACAAGAAAAGATAAGAAACCTTCAGAGATTATCAGAGGAGCTCGAGTGCCTTTAGTTAGAAGTTTCGAGACTCAAAACACGATCCTAGTTA